ACAAATAATAGTTTGGTGACACGAAGGTGAAAGGTTTGAAGAGGATTGTATAGTTTTTACTTTTAAAAGTGGATGACGATCGGTTATGGTTTGGGGATGTTTCGTGGGAAGGTTAAAAGATCCTTTAATTTTTTGTGACGAAAATAAGGAAAAAGATGAAAAAATTAGTACAAGTGTTTATGTTAGAATTTTAGATAAAAATTTGTGTTCTTTTTTACATGCTATTATGGAAATAAGGGAAGAAAACCCGATTTTTCAACAAGATAATGTGCCGATCCACACTGCGAAAATTACAAACGAATGGTTAAAGGCGAAAAAAATTAAAACTATGACTTGGCCCACCAATTCTCCAGATATAAATCTGATAGAGAATGTTTGGAAGTTGCTTAAGAATCATTACCTTTCTTTATCCGTCCTCCCCAAAATGATAGATGAGCTAAAAACTGCATTAAAAGAAGAATGGGAAAACCTCTATATCTCTGTTCTTGATGAAGTTATTGCTTCCATGCCTAGAAGAATAAACGTGGTGCTAAAGGCAAGGGGGGGGGAACAAAATATTAATATATTGTATATATTAAAACATATATAAAATAAAATTTTTTATTAAAAAAAAATCGGGCGTTACTTTATGCGGGTACTGTACAAAGCTGGAACATGCAACACTAAGAAACAATATATTGAATGCGAAATTTGTGAGCAAGAATTAGAAGAATTCGTCGTGGTGAGAATGCTGACCAGAAAGGATGCAATGGAAATAGCTGATAAACTTGTGCCAGCATATGGTCTAATTTCTGATTCTGCCAAGACTTTCGCCTCCAGCAGCAATGACAGTACCTAAAGTTGTAATTGATCCCGAATCGTTAATGCTTATACAAAGTGAGCATTTAATGCCCAACAAAAAGTGCAAGCTGCTAAATAGATCACATAAGATTTCTAAAATGTTGAGTATGGTATTGATTTTGCTAAGAGTGCAGGCGAATATATCTGTTATTTTGGGGAGGACGGATAAAGAAAGGTAATGATAATCATGTATTACTGTTTGTTTAAGAAAACATTATTAACTCGATTCTGATTTTGACAAGTCTGATCGGCTTTCTAGCCCGTGTGGCAGATGTTCATTTTTTTTTCCTCAATTTTCATACGGGTATCAAGGAATGCCGAAGTTCAGAAAAATGCTAGGAAGGAGAAACCTGGATATTCTTTAACAAAAGAAACACATGTAATAACATTGACCTCCTAGCGGATCTAATAATTCGTCGAATATATCACGAGAAACCGATTAATCATAATATCTGAATATTTGCCGCATGCAATCCTTATCATTTGCAAATGAGGAAGTGTTAGCGTGATAGGTCTAGAAGCTAAAAATTTGAAGAGCAAAGTAACCTTGTATATAAAGTAAGACCACTCGATCAAATTTTGATTTGTTTGGGATTATGGTGTGTTAAACAGTAGGACAAAGAGCGGTATATTTAGAACACGATTGAAGGAGTTATTTTCCTCGCAACAATTTATTCAAGTAGAGTGTAATGTCAAACATGCTATTAAACTTATCAAGTTCTTTTGCGTCGCCCGCTGATTCGTAAGGGTTCAGCATACAAATTCGGTCATTTAAATTGGCATTAGGTCTTTGTTATATCATTGTGTTTAAAGCATCGAGAATAATGGTTAACTGTTTAGAATTAAAATATTTGTACAGTTTTAAATTTAAATTTTGCTCTTTATTTACTCAATATATTATGAAATTTTGTACATGTTAATAATTATTTAAAATATAAAGTTTAGCTTCGAATTTAACGGCTATTCCCATAAATCGAATATAGATGAAAAGTGTTATTGGCCTTGAAAACTTCTTTATTGCATAAATCTAAAAGCCGCCAGTAGGTCAGCACACAGAAGTAAGCAAAGTAAAAACAAATCAATTTAAAAAATTTGCTTTTTTTTTTTCATAATAAAAATTATTTTTAATAAAGTTATAAGAATCGTTAAATAAAATTATTAAAATCAAAAATTTTATTTTTTAAACTCAGACTGAAAATATTAAACGGGTCAAACGGGTCAAATGAGTCAAAATGAGTCAAACCCGATTTTGACCCGACTCATTCGGAACACTAAGTTTGGCTGATTTTTATAAAAAAAAAAGAGAATTAAATAAAATAAAATAAAATACATGTTAAATAAAAATTTTTTTATTTTGATAGTTATTTAATTATCTATACATTAATCATAAGTTATTTATTTGATTATTTGGATTTGGTTAATAAATTATTGTTATAGTATCTAATTTTAATCATTTAATTTACTGTATTTCTTTATTATTTAAATTTGATTATTCTTTATCTAACTTTGCTTATACAATCGTATTTTAACTATATATGGGGTTATATATAGATATTTATGTGATGAAAAAATTAAATAATATAATGTAATGCTAATTATATCGATAAAAAAAATTGATTAATATTGTGCCAATATTTCTGATCGAAATTCAAAAATGATGAAATACTACAGTTAGAAACTATAGGAGAGCGAAATTTTTGATGCACGACCAACAAACCCTTAATTTTTCGTATCCTTTCAGAATAACGATTCCTGTCTGCCTTTACCGATCACGATCAACGATACCTTCGAGTTTTTAACATCTTTATACCAGATAATGTCATAAAGCAGCCTGGCTCCTTATTTATATTTTATCATCGTTACTCTGATAAAACTTATATTAATTATTTAACTGGAACTCCGCAAATTTACATAATTTGTAACATGATCACTGTACCTCAAATTCAATTCTATATTTTTGGAAGATAACATTAAACTCAAAATCCGTTCAAGAAAAGAGGGTGATATTCGATATGTTCCTCATTAAGAATTCACCTAGTTATCTGGATATATCTAGTTAGGAAGCTGCGAATTTTCTTAAATTCTGATTCTTTTTTTAAGTACATAAATATCATGACTTAATTTGTTTCTTCAATCATGCTCTGCATGCTATCACTTTATACACGACATTCACGGATTCCGATAACCTAAACGAAGGCTTTCCCTCACCATCTAGTGTACATTTCATGAAATACTAACCTCTTGCGTCAGTAAAGATTCCAAGTAACTTATCTCTTTGGCTTCGCGCTTACAGCCGTCAGGGATGATTCCATTTGTATGAATATCTGGACAAATCCCTTTTGACTTTGACTAAATCAAGGATCTTACAGCTATAGCTTAAGCAAGATTTCTTTTCCCATTCTTGAAATTCTCATCAAATGAGACCCAGAAACCAGATAGCAGTAATAATAAATAGACTTCATAGCCTCATACCCCATGTTAAATGGGTTAGTCTTTATACGAAGTTTCAGCTCGATCATTAGATTCTTAAATACGATTCGAGATTATTCATCTTTTAATTCTACATTACGCAAACATATGAAAAACAGGGTACACGTTAATATTGGGACTTGGGTCATTGCTAAGAGCTTAGAGTTCACTGACTTTTGGAAAGGATCATTCACTAAAATACTTTGAGAGAGTTTCGATAAAAATTATGAACTTTGTGGTTATTTTTTGATACGAATAAACGGATCACTTTGCAAAGATCTTAATCGTTCCGAGGTGAGTATCTATATCCATCAGTTATTAACTTCAATACTGCGGGTTCATCTCAAGAGCCGGTGGTTTCTCCATTTCACATGGATATTCTTTGAGACCTTCGAGGATCACATCCACGATATTTAAGTTCCACTTATGACCCCTAGTCCGTTTCGGACTTGAAGCAAAAAAAAGGTTAGCAATAACACTTTATTAGATCATAAATCACATACCAAACTCTAAGAAATATAAGGTCTTTTTCTAGTTTGAGAATACGCGGGACGGTTTTATACGTACTATAGACGGATTTGTTGATCAATGCGAGGCGAGTTCGTCAAGTAACTCCCGTTTACGGCTAGAACTTGCAGTGGTCTCTTGCGAAGAGACTAAAACGAATACTTTCTCTGGCTGGTGAGTCTGGAAAGTATTTAGAAATCTTTTTTATTACAAAGAGTTCAGGTTCGTGAGATCGTCTCGAATTTCTTTTTCCATAGCTAGAATTCGCCAGCCTCTACACCATGTTTTTCGCCTTTATACTCTCTTTATAATCGCCAATATGACTATTGAAAAGTGTTGCTAGTTTGCATCAATAATTTTTGCAATAACTATTATATATCACTTCACTATGTCTCGTCAAAAGAAATACTCGCGTACAAGCAAAAAAAAATTTTTATTCGCTAAAAATGAAGTATGAATCTAAGACTACTGAGTTTGGGTTAAGAAGTGTATGACGAATATCGTTATAATCGCCGAGCTTAAAGGATTAAAATCGCAAATTTTAAATTATGTGTTGGCATTTCTATAAAATTGTGTTTACTTTCCCGATACACAAATCAAACTTGCATAATACAAAAAACTAAACGATAATACTGTAGCTAAGTAGCTTAAACATTTATGACAAAATTTCCGAGAGTTTTAGTTTCTTAAGGAAATTTACTGATTTGTTAAACTCTTCATTTGCCATTGTTTCGTATTCTTCTTTTTTGCCTTCTTCAGTTAGCATATAATTTTCTTTCCAACAGTCACGTGATGTCATAATTGCTTCGCTAGCTTTAAGCATGATGGCAATAATCTATAATATGCATCTTCACGAAATTCTTCATCAATTACAGCATCTAGTATTAAAAAAACTAATCTAAAATCAATATAAGAATAATAAAATACATGACCTCGAAGTTATTTAACTTACCAAACTTTCTCTTTTTGTCTGTCTTATTATCAAGAATTACCCAATCGTTATTACGTCTTTCTCGAATTACAGTTTCCCGAATTGTGGCTTCTGGCTGATCGTAGTCATCACCTTTTTCCTGAATTACGGCTTTACCTCGATCGTTGCCATTATACTCTCCCTGGGTTATGGCCTTGGTTTTATTGTTATTATACTGACTTAAATTTTCTTCAGTGGTTGTCTGCATAACAGAAAAAGTTACATTAGTTGCTTTTAATATTTAATAATTCGTAGATAATTAGATATAATAGTTCATACTTACTTTCGTATAAACAACCTTCACTTTGGATCTACCAAAACAATATGATTCTTTTATTTTAACGTTGTTGCCTTTAGGACCATCAAAAATGATGTCTTTATAGGTATAGAAGAAATTACTCGCGTTTTCGTGACTAGAGAAGTGTATATGAGCATAACTACAATAAAATCAAATATATGAATAAATTTGTCAAAAAATAAGCAGAAAATAGATTAAATAGAAGTTCTTACCCAACATGTGGTTTTTTGATAACATGTTTAAATGGAAGCTTTACTACTTCACGTAACCATTTTTCTAGTTCTTCTCCTATAATGGCTTTAATGTTACCGTATAACATTACGGAAAATTTAGGTTTCCCATAACAGGAATTTTTTGAAGCTAAAAAAACGAGTAATTCATCGATAACATTAAAAGAAAATAAATACAATCTTATCGAGGGACGGGATAAGAAGGAACAGTGTTGCATACCCGACTTCATTTAAAGGGAAAAAAATAAAGTTAACACGACTTTTTACGCGACTATCGACTATATAAATTAGATTAGTCACACGTGATTAGTCACCATGACATAATCATTACATAATACTCCACATGACGGAGGCGTAAATGAACACTAAATGCG